GCTGTATGCGGGTCTCTCACTGCTGTGGCCTCTCCCATTGCGGAGCACAGGCTCCGGACGCACAGGCCCAGCGGCCATGGCTCACGCGCCCAGCCGCTCCGCGGCACGTGGGATCCTCCCAGACCGGGGCACGAACATGTGTCCCCCGTGTCGGCAGGCGGACTCTCAGCCACTGCGCCACCAGGGAAGCCCCCTTTGTTCATTTTTAAATTGGGTTATTCATCTTTTTATTGTTGTTTTAAGGTGTTCTTTATGTTTTCTGGACATGAGTCCCTTATTTGTTGTATGATTTGCAGATATTTTCTCCCATTCTGTGGGTTGTCTTTCAGGTTCTTGATAGTGTCCTTTAAAGCCCTGAAGTTTTAAATTTTTTTTTTTTAATTCTTTAGATTAATAACTTTTTAGTTTTATTTATTTTTTATTATTATTTTCTTGCGGTACGTGGGCCTCTCACTGTTGTGGTCTCTCCCGTTGTGGAGCACAGGCTCCGGATGCGCAGGCTCAGTGGCTGTGGCTCACAGGCCCAGCCGCTCCGCAGCATGTGGGATCTTCCCGGACCGGGGCACGAACCCGTGTCCCCTGCATCGGCAGGCGGACTCTCAACCACTGCGCCACCAGGGAAGCCCAGTTTTAAATTTTGATGAAATCTGATTTACCAATTTTTTCTTTTGTGACTTGTGCCTTTGGTATCGTGTCTAAGAAATTATTGCCTTATGCAAGGTCACAAAAATTTACGCCTATGGTTTCTTCTAAGAGTTTATAGTTTTAGCTCTTACATTTAGGTTTTTGATCCATTTTGAGTTAATTTTTGTATATAATGTGTGTTCTAGCTTTATTCTTTTGAGTGTGGATATCCAGTTGTAACAGCACCATTTGTAGAAAGGACTGTTTCCCAATTAAATTATCACAGCACATTGGTTAAAAATCAATTGAACATAAATGTAAGGGTCTGTTTTGGGACTGTCAGTTTTATCCCATTGATCTATGTGTCTGTCTTTTATGCCAGTACCACACTGTCTTGATTACTCTAACTCTGCAGTAAGTGTTCAAATGGGGAAGTATGAATTCTTCAATTTTGTTCTTCTTTTTCAAGATTATTTCGGCTACTATAGATGTATTTTCATATGCATTTTAGGATAAGATTGTCAATTTCTATAAAGTCAGCTGGGGTTTTGATAGAGATTGTGTTATAGATCAATTTGGGGAGTATGGCTATCCTAACAAAATTAAGTGTTAATTTAACCCATGAATATGGGATAGCTGTCCATTTACTTCAGTTTTTAATTTCTTTCAATAATAATTTATGGTTTTTGGTGTATAAATCTTGTGGGGTTTTAAAAAAATTTTTTTCCTAAGTATTCTTTCTGATGTTCTTGTAAACAGAATTGTTTTCTTAAATTCATTTCAGGATTACTCATTGCCAGAATATAGAAATATAATTGACTTTTTAATATATTTACATCTTACAACCTTAACTTCGTATACTTCGTAATTCTATTAGTTTTTTTTTTTTTTTAATTCTTCAGGATTTTCTGCATATAAGAACATGTTATTTGTGATAGGGGCAGTTTTATTGCTTCCTTCCCAATCTGGATGCCATTTATTTATTTTTCTTGCCTAATTGCCCTGGCTAGCACCTCAGTGCAGCACATACAGTGCTGTGTGGAAGTGACAGAGCAGATATCTCTGTTTTTTCCTTTTTGAGGAGGAGGCATTCAGTCGTTCATCATTTAATATGGTTTTAGCTGTGGGTTTTTCTTAGTGGATTTTATTTTGTTTTATTTTTGGCTGCGCTGTGCGGCTTGTGGGATCTTAGTTCCCCGACCAGGGATTGAACCCAGGCCCTTGGCAGTGAAAGTGCCAAGTCCTTACCACTGAACCACCAGGGAATTCCCTAGCTGTGGGTTCTTCATAGATGCTCTTTATCAGGTTGAGGATGCTTCCTTCTATTCCTAGTGTGTTGGATTTTTTTTTTTTAATTAAAAAAAGTGTTGGATTTTGTTAATTTTTTTCTAAATTTGAGATAATCATGTGTTTTTTATTCTATTAATATAGTGTTTATACTGGTTTTCAGATGTTAAACCAATCTTATATTCCTGAGATAAATCTAATGTCATGGTGTATAATCCTTTTATATGTTGCTAGCTTTGGTTTGTAGTATTTTGTTGAATACTAGTGTGTAGTTCTTCTTTCTTGTGATGTTTCTGTTTGGTATTGGTATCAGGATGTAACTGGCCTCTTAGAATGATTTGAGTTTTTCTTATGCTTCTTTTAAAGAGTCTGTGAAGGATTGGTATTAATTGTTCTTTAAACATTTGGTAGAATATATCTGGGCCTGTGCTTTTCTTTGTGGGCAGTTTGTAAACTGTTAATTCAATATGATATTTTTGTTAAGACCAGTTATAAGTGAACATTCATCTTGTAAGAATACCTGTTGATATCTGATTATTCATCCAACCTTTCTCTTATATAATATACAAATCGAAAGAAATTTTGATATACCTACTTTTTAACTTTCTTTTTTCTTCTGTTAAAGGTCTGTAATTACTCTGGAATCAGTAAGCCATGGCGTCAAAGAAATTTGCTGTTAAGGTAAGTAACGCTTAATAGCTTTCTTTAAAATGATTAATCACTTTCTAATATAACTGAGTCCTGTGTTCATTGAAAACAGTAGCCCTGAACTTTCCTTCTACTCTTGAGATTTGGGACACTACTGAAAACTTGAAGTAGGTGATTGAAAATTTGCATGTTAAGAATGAGATGGGGGAGAAAATGAATAGTTCATATGGTCATGGGAGTTTCTTGCTTAAAGTCTTTTGTAAGATGCCTTTGGGACATAACTTGGTCCTTAATGTTAAAAAGTATTATTCACATTGTATGTCCATGGCGTGATTTTTGATTATGACACAGCACCTAAAAGTAAAGAAGCAGGCAGCAAATGCTTGCACCTGGGTGAATGCCAGGAGCGAGTTCTCCTGCCTCGCTGCCCTCTTTTGCTTTTCTCTTGTAAGCATCTCTTCTCTATCCCTTGATGGCTGGGTCCGAGACCTTCTCAGTTGTGGAGGAATGGGAGGGTCACCTGTGAGAGGTGGTGGGGAAGGAAAGGGGAAGAATTGGTAGTGAGTACAGTCGACCCTCCAGGTTCTGCATCCGAGAGTCCTGCATCCACCTAGCTGCAGATCCAGTCTCGAGAGGAACCATTGTATGAAGGATGCTTCACATATGCCTGTTCTTTAGGGCATTTTCCCTGCGCTAGTGTTTAATTAAGCAGAAATTCAAAACACTGAAACAGAGAAATCATAGTGGTTAACCAGATCAGATACTGTTTAGTGTTGTAGTCGTATCTTATCTTTACCAAGTCAGAGCTTTAGATTTACAACATATTTATAAATTTCATTACTTACAATTATTTCTAGTATCTGTATATTCTGTATGTAGTATTCCTCTCTGTGAGAGATTATAAGTGGTGAACTTTCACAGTCTGTCTAAAACTGTCTTTTGGTTTTCCTGTAGAAAGTAAAGTTTGTTTTAGAATTTTAGGTTGCACATCAGTTCCTCTCAGCACTTTAAAGGTATTTTTCCATTGTCTTTTGAAATCTCTTATTGCAACTGAGAAATGTTTTAATTATCAGTTGATGCTTAAAAACTACCTTAAAACGTAGTGACTTAAAACAGAAGCCATGTTATTCTCTCTCAGTATTCTGTAGGTCACCTGGTATCAGTTGGGCGGTTTCTCCTCTTGATGTTGGCTGGGGCTGCAGTCATCTGGGGACTGAGTTCAGCCTGCACATCAAAGCTGGCTGCGCATGTGGCTGGCAGTTGATCCTGGCTGTGCTTGGAATCTCACCTGGGGCTGTTAATTGTTGCCCTCAGTTCTCATTCAGGTGGCTACTCTGTGTGGCTTGGGCTCCTCTCCTAGCTTGGTACCTGAGTTTTGAGGGATGGTGTCCCAGAGCAAAAGTTGCGGGAAGAAAAAAGTGTAATTTGTCCGTCCCTTGAAGGCCTGAGCTCAGAAGTCCCACGTGCGTTTCCTCTGCTTTCTATTGGTCAGAGCACTCAGAAGGTCAGCTCCAGGAAAGCTGCAGCTCTCCATGGGAGAAGCAGCTTGTGCTCACAGGGAGGGGGAGAATCTGGGGGTGCATCTGTGGAGACTAGTCAGCAAAGAAGTCTACTGTCAGCCCATCGTGATTTCTTTCTTTGTTATCTTGCTTATCAAGATATCTTGGTTCTCTTTGGTTGCTCTTAAGATTTTGTGTCTTTGATATTCTATAGTTTCACTGTGAAATCTTGAGATACAGACTTTTTATTTATCTGGCTTGGGATGCAATGTACATCTTTGGAAGAGTCAAGTCTTTCATCAATTTTGGAAAATTTCGACCTTTTTCTCTTCAAGTACTGCTCCTCTCTGTTCTCTCTGATTTCTTCTTCTGGAACTCTTATACGAAGTTTGTTGAATAGTCCCACGTAACTGTTTATTATGTGCTAGAGGGTGATGTTAACTCATCCAGGACTGAGCGCCTGCAGGATGTCTGCTCAGAAAAGGACTGGGCCTCTTGCAAAGCTTTGCCCAAACTGGCTATGGTCCATTCAGAGAGACAATCCTCGTCAGCTGCAAAGCTTAGACCCTAGGCCCCTAATTATGCCAGAGCTGGGTCAATTGATTTCCAAGACATACATACTGATGTGGTAAATTCTGCTACGAGATTGCCTGATCTTACAGCTGCACCAGCAAGACTTGGAACCTAACTCCCAGATCATGCCAGGTGGGGGAGTGACCCCAACCATGGGTGTCAAGCCAGCAGGTTAGGCATAGTCAGAGTTCTAACACATTATATGGAAGATTCTACACATCATGTTGTGTTGGTGTCCCTGCCTCTGTCTGATCACACAGGCAAGGAACAAGTGCTTTCCTAATCATGCAGTTTAAAAGGCCCATGACCCAAGCACTGGGATCCCATTCTGAAGGTCTGACATCCCGCCCAGCCAGATTGCTGTGCACTGCCCTAGGGTGTCATGAGCAACAGGGGACATGCACACCTGCTCTTGCTGCAGTCTCCACGTGCCCGCTCTGAAGAACTCTGCTTGGCCATTTTCCGTTTCCTTTTTCTCTTCTCTTTATGTCTGTATGTTGCATTCAGAGTGCTTTTTATTAGATCTCTTCCAGTTTACTAAAAGCTTGTCATCAGTATTTATTCTCCTTTTTAATCTGTATTTATTCTATTCTTTGTTTATTTTTAGTGACTGCATTTTTCATTTGAGAATTTGTGTTTGTTTTTTTTTAAATTCAAATTCTACCAGTTCTTTTTTTATATATATACTTGTCCTTTTTTTCAATATGTTTCCATATCCTTCTTTTATCTCCTTCATAATCTTAAAGTAGTTTATTTTATAGCCTCTTTTAGATTGTTCTGTTATTTCCACTGTTATTTACTAAGTGTGAAATATATGGGTGGAAAGACCTATGAGCTCAGCCCTGCAGAGCAGTGGAGCGGTTTCAAGTTTACTTCTGCTGGAGCCATTGGCATTTTGGTGGTTTTGGACCAGGTTTATATTCATTTCAGGACTTGGGATTCCACCACCTTGTGGGTAGTCTGACTTTGCAACCCACAACTGAGTATGGCACAAGCTTAGTGTTTTTAGTATTTTCCTTGCTGTTCTCCCTCCCCTGCCCCCACCCCCCACCCCTGCCAAAGCCCTGGGTGGATGGCAGGCTTCCATGCTGCTTCCCTTGGTCAGCGAGCAGAGATTTTTTTTTGCATTTTCATGAAACCCACAGTTTCTCAAGAGGATGAAGGAAAAGCTCTCTTGAATAGCTCCTGTTCCAAGAAATTGTGGACAAACTTACCCATACGAACCCAAAGAGTATTATATGAGGATATCTACAAATTGAGTACTTATTTCTGTGTCAAGCGTTGTCTTATGTGCTAAGCTGATACAAAGAACTGAAAGTTGAAGTTCTTCACAACTCCGGACTTAACTGGAATGAGTTTATTCCCAACTCCTCTCTCTCTCCTACCCTTTTTAGGCATTAGGATGCCAGCTCTCAGCTATCCTGGCTTCCAAATACTCTGACAACTAGGCTTGAACCTTCCAAATGGGTGATTATATTTTTTCCTGCTTGATTGAAATATCATTGACATATAACATTGTGTAAGTTTAAGGTGTACAATGTGTTGATTAGATAAATGTATAAATTGCAAAATGTTTACCACAGTAATTTTAGTTAACACGTCCTTCACTTCACATAATTACCATTTTGTTGTTGTCATGGTGAAAACATTAGAGCTTTACTCTCAAGTATACAGTACAGTGTTGTTAACTCTAGTCACTATGCTGTACATTACATCCTCGGAACTTACTCATCTTATAACTAAAAGTTTGTACCCTTCAACCAACATCACCCCATTTACCCCACCCCTCATCCCCTGGCAACCACCATTCTACTCTGTTTCTACGAATTCGATGTTTTAAGATTCCACATATAAGTGAAATCATACAGTATTTATTTGTCTTTCTCTGTCTGAGTTACTACACTTAGCATAATGTCCTCAAGGTCTATCTGTGTTGCTGCAAATGGCAGAATTTCCTTTTTATGGCTGAATAATATTCCATTGCATGTGTATACCATATTTTCTTTATTCATTCATCTGTCAGTGGACACTTAGGTTGTTTCCATGTCTTGGCTATTGTGAATAATGCTGCACTGAACATGGAGTGCAGATATCTCTTCAAGATAGTGATTTCATATCCTTCAGATATATACCTAGAAGTGGGATTGCTTGATCATATGGCAGTTCTATTTTTAAATTTTTGATTAACCTCCATACTGATTTCTATAGTGGCTGCATCAATTTACATTCCCACCAACCATGCACCAGGGTTCCCTTTTCTCTACAGTCTCACCGGTATTTATCTCTTGTTTTTTTCATAATAGCTGTTCTAACAGGTGTGAGGTGATATCTCATTGTGGTTTTGATTTGCCTTTCCAAAGGAATGATACTGATTAGTGCTGATAGGAATTTGTTATTTTTAGTAGTCTTTTCAGAGAACCAAATTCAGGTTTCATTTTATTTTCCTGTAGCATACTTGTTTTCTATTTATTGATTTCTTTATTATTTCCTTCCTTCTACATTCTTTGAGCAAATTTATCCTTCTTTTTTCAGCTTCTTAAGGGGGAAGCTTAAATCATTGATTTTGGAAACTTTCTTCTTTTCTAGTATATGCACTTAAAGCTATGAATTTCTCTCTAAGTACCTACTTGACTTGTATCCTCTTGTTTTGATAGACATGCTGTTAAATTAGGAATTTTGCTTCCATTCAAATCAAAGTATTTTCTAATTTTCATTGTGTTTCATTTTTGATTATGGCTTATTCAGATGTATATTGTATAGTTTCTAAGTACTTGGAAATTTTCTAATAATCATTTTGTTATCAGCATAATCATTTTGTTTAGCGTAATTCCTCTATTGATATTTTGGTTAATGTTCTATAAACACTTGAAAAAAGCGTTGCTTGTCAGGTGCATTGAACTGTGTATCCGACTCAGGTCAGGTTTGTTGATTCTATTGTAAAAAATCAGCTTTGTGTTTACT